AAAAAATTGATAACACAAAACCTGTAGCAAAAAATGTTAAATTTTTAAGTTTTAGAACTGTAAAAAGTCCATATTTTCTGTTGAATAATTTCAAAACAGCGTAACTTTACGTCTAGAAAACCATATTTCAACCGTTTTTACGATTTTTAGTAAATTGACTATTTTTACGATTTTACTACCGCTTATCTTCAAAAATTCAAAAAATTCAAAATTTTCCAAACTTGATCCAATGCCATTTTATGCACTTATTTGAGTCTTTAAGACCTCTAGAAATGTAAAAACTTTAAATGGAGCAATTTTAATGTTAATAATTGATTTTTGTCGTTTTTTTTGTCACCGAACACTCAAAAAAAATCGATATTTTTAATTCAACCCTGTAACGTTTTATACACGTTTCTAAGTATTTTACAACAAGTCTCTTGGACCCTTAAGAATGCATTTGGTTCAATTTTGAAGTTTTTAATTTTTCCGATTTTTGTCAAAATTAATTAATTAATTGAGGCACAAAAATTTTTAATTAAATATTAAGACTCAAGTATTTGCTAGTACATAAAATGGTTTTTGGTAATGTGTTATTAAGACTCAAACAAAATTCTCAATAGCGTTTTAATCAAGAATAACTCCGATAAATTGAGTCCCACATTGGCTCATCTGTTCCCAATGGCCGTCAATTCCAAACTCGTGATGTTATTTCTTCCATTTCGCAATTCGATTATAACCTTTTCATCAATTTATCCCATTAAATATTCTTCGAGGGGCAAAAACTAGTTTCGAAACTAATTTTCCAAACTTAAATCCAAGTTTAATAGCATTAAAATTAGCTCCCGCTGCGATATTACAAAAATTGTGCCTAAACTCCCTTATTTCAGTGCATGACGCAAGCATGGTATTTAACATGTGACATGCAATATTACTTTCTGTCACCGTTGATTCTTGTCCCTCTTTGGAAAAGTCCAACTTTCGGTTACATCAATTTCGTTTTTCTTTACGCTCTATCAATCGCGAGCAATTTTTATTTTGCTTGGATCAATAGCTACGATGGCGGAGTCCCAGTGACGTAAGTGCATACGTTTTCAGTCACAACAATCAGCACAATTTTCAGGAACCAACTTTTCTCCACACACTATTTTCAGCACCATTACATCGCCCCCCACACGAGAGCCGCCACTTACATTATTGGCTTAGGATTGGGGTACTCTGTAACCAGAACCAAAGGGAAAAAAATCGAAATAAATTATGCCACAGTTGCGATTTTTTGGATAGTTTCAGTTGCGACAATGTTAGCCTCTTTGGTGGGCTCACACGCCTTTCATGAGGAAACTCACGAGTTTAACAAACTCGAAGCTGCGATTTTCCTCTCTTGCTCGCGGTCGGCGTGGACTTTTGGGCTCGTCTGGATGGTTTGGGCTTGCATCCATGGATATGGAGGTGGGAAAAGCTGCGATTTCAGCGCCTGAAATCAGGTTTCAGGTCCGATTAATTACGTTCTCTCCTCGCACTTGTTTCGCGTGTTGGGGAGGATTAGTTACTCGATTTATTTGTTACACATGCTGATGCAATATTTAATGAGTGGAGCTGCGAAGATGCCGGGCTATTTTTCAGATTTCAGTGCTGTAAGTTTCAGTGAACGCAATGAAAAATTAATCTCTTGACCTAGCTTTATGCTGCTTTCGGTGACTTATTTATCATGGTTGTAATCGGATTTGGCTTCACTGTGTGCTTTGAAATGCCTTTGATCAGGCTTGTGACAATGACGCTGAAACAAGGTAGATGCTGAAAAAACTGGTCAAGAAATTTTTAATTCCTTTCAGGCTCTAAAGTCAATCCAAGGAATGAATAATTTCAGCAATTTTTGAGCGACGACAAGCTTTACCTCTTAATTTCAGGAGTTATCACTTTTGTTATTATAATTTTTTGAAATGTCGGTTACAATTGTGGCTTTTTTTAGTAAATTAAGTGATTTCTCAAATTAAAGAAAACACTTTTTTTAATACCGGGTGACTATAAATGATTGTGATTTTTGACGTTAAGTTGGCAACAAGTTTGAAATTTTAATTTGTCAACTTTGATTATGAAATTCACACGTCACATTATTATAGGCGGTCATTGTTAGCAGAGACATTTAAAATTTTATATTCTTAAGTATTGCCAACTTAGTTTCAAAATCATCAGCTACTCTGCTTGAAAATTTTATTAGAGACATATATGTTTCTTAACGAGAAAAGATTCTTTTTAGAATTCTCAATAAATCCTAGAGAATCCTCATAATTCCTAGAAAATTGTAACAAATCCCTTAAAAAACAGTACGAGATATACAGTTTTAATATGTAAGACGATTTAGTATAATAAATAAAGAGTTGTAAATAAGTTTTGTTTTTTTCTTAAAAATTCTAAAGTACAAAAAATTTTTGATTATTTTTCTTGAAAATGTTTATAAACACACAACACATACATTTCAATTTTATTAAACAATATTTCCTAAATGTTAATATTGTTTTTGATAAACAGAGTGAAAGTAAATGATTATGATTTTTGCCATCTGATTGGCAACTTTAAAAGTTTAATCTTTGACTACAAAATTTAGACTTCAAATTTTTAAAAACAATTAAAAAAATTATCAATAATTCAGTATTGATTTCTTTGTCAACTCACCCGGTAGATTAATTTAACTTAAGGGTTCAAGTAAATATACTAAAAATGAAACATTGAAACTAAAAGATCATAAAAAGTAAAAAAGAATAAACTGTAGTATACAACTTGTTTCTTAAAATTAGTTAAAAAATTAGAAAAAACTGTAATTTAAAAAAAAATCAAATATAATAAAGACTTTTTCTAGGTTATAAATCTTTAAAAATCTCAATAAATCCTAGAAAATCCTCACAATTCTTGGGAAAATTCAACAGTACGACAAAACCGTTTCAATATTTAGGACGATTTTGAATAAATAAAGAATTATAAATAAATTAATGTTCAAAATTTTTTGCCTTCTTTTTTTTAATGTCTAAACTTTGAAGAGGTTTTTTATTAATTGTCTTGAAAATGTATTTTTTTTCTTAAACAACAAATTCTACACTTTAATTTTGTCTTTGAATAAACAGCGTGAATGTAAATGATTTTTGCCATCTGATTGGCAACTTTGAAATTTTAATTTGGCATCTTTGACTACAAAATTCATTGAATTGAATCTTTACAGACGATTAAAAAAATTATCAATATTTCAGTATTGATTTCTTTGTCACAATCATTTATGGGCACCCGGTAGATTAATTTAACTTAAGAGTTCAAGTAAATAACTAAAATATACTAAAAATAAAATATTGAAACTAAAGAATCATAAAAAGTAAAAAAAGAATAAACTTTGCTATACAACTTGTTTGTTAAAATTATTAAAAAAATTGGACAAAACAGTTTTCTATAAAAAAAAAATAATCAAATATAATAATAGACTTTTTCTAGGTTATAAATCTTTAGAAATCCCAATAAATCCTAGAAATTCCGTATAATTCTTAGAAAAATTCAACAAACCCTAAATCTGAAGAAACTGTACGAGATAAACCGTTTCAATAATTAAGACGATTTTAAATAAATAAATTAATGTTCAAAACTTTTTGTCAACACAAACATTTCAATTTTTTTCTTAAACAATAATTTCTATACTTTAATTTTGTTTTTGATAAACAGGGTGAATGTAAATGATTGTAATTTTTGGTGTCTAGTTGTCAACTTTGAAATTTTAATTTGGCATCTTTGACTACAAAGTTTAGACTTTAAATTTTTACAAGCGATTAAAAAAATTATCAATAATTCAGTATTGATTTCTTTGTGTCAGAAGCATTTATAGTCACCCGGTAGATTAATTTAACTTAAGAGTTCAAGTAAATAATTAAAATATACCAAAAACGAAACAATGAAACAATAATCATAAAAAGAAAAAAAAGAATAAACTGTAGTATACAAGTTGTTTGTTAAAATTAATTAAAAATTGGAAAAAAACACTAATTTATAAAAAAAATAATCAAATATAATAAAGACTTTCTAGGTTATAAATCAATAGAAATCCCAATAAATTCTAGAAAAACAAAAAATTCTTAGGAAAATTCAACAAACCCCAAGTCTTAAAAAACCGTTTCAATATTTAAGACGATTTTGAATAAATAAATTAATGTTCAAAACTTTTTGTCTTGTTTTTTTAAATTCTAAACTTTGAAGAGGTTTTTTATTAATTGTCTTGAAAATGTTTATAAACAAACACAACGTTTTATTTTTTCTTAAACAATAATTTATAGACTTTAATTTTGTTTTTAATAAACAGTGTGAGTGTAAATGATTGTGTTTTTTGGCATTTGATTGGCAACTTTGAAATTTTAATGTGACACCTTTGACTACAAAGTTTAGACGTTGAATTTTTACAGACGATGAAAAAATTATCAATAATTCAGTATTGAGTTTTTTGTCACAATCATTTATAGTCACCCGGTAGATTAATTTAAATGTACTAAAAACGAAACATTAAAACTAAAACAATCTCTAGTATACAAAACTAGAATAATTTCTATACTTTAATTTTGTTTTTGATAAACAGGGTGAATGTAAATGATTGTGATTTTTGGCGTCTACTTCATCAGAAGCAATCACATTGTGATAATTTTCAGCAAATTGTGTTAAATTAATCAAGTTCTAGCACAACCCTACAGAATATTAATTTTTTGCTAGAAATGTGATGAAATTATGTGGGCGTAAAATCAGGAATGTGGCGAACTATTTGCCAATGATTGATTAACAAGCTCCAACATAACTTTACGGAATGTGCGATCCAATTTATGGTTAATTTTGGCTTCGATCAGCTCTATAATTGTCGAAATTCGTGCAAAACTTGTCAAGTGTCGTGTTAATAATCTATTTTTGGCCTATCGGGAGCAAATTATCTCAAGTTGCGAAGGGTGAGCTCGAATTCGTGTCGGGGAAATCTCAAGTATTGGAATTTATTCGTTTCAAGTTGGTATAAGAAGTAATTACTGGGAGATGTTAATGAATGAGGAGTGCAACAAGGGATGAATATGAGTCGTGGGCGCGGGGTTGGAACGCATGCCCTACGGAGGGGAGGCGTTGTCCTGCAGTATAACCGCGCCACGACGTCGAGGACGCCCATTCATCGGCGAAAATCCATCTGTGACACTACATAGCGTCTTTAGTTTGGTTTTCGTTCGAATTATTTCACGTATCATGAAGTACACTTGGTTGGTATTGGCGGCCTGCATGGTGTTGGTTCTCGCGGAGTTGCTCCCGGGGGCCGCTGCTGGACCCTACCTAGATGACGGTGAGTCACATTTAACAACACTGAAAGTCATATTTGAAACTTTTTTCTCATCAATTATAATAAAAATATTTTGCTAAACAGCGAAATAATTTTATTTAATCACTCAAAATTTTAAACTGAGATCAAATTATTTTTTCCATTATGATTTTTTTTTTGATTTACTAAACGTACACTGAAAGAAATTTGCAAATTTTCAAGACTTCCACTTCCAATACGAACAATTTTTTTTCCTAGTTTTTTCACGTGCCAAACATATTTATCGTGTCAACAGGTCAGTCAGACTGTTTTCTTATTTTTACTGTTTTTTTCTTTTCTAAATTTTGTTAAATTTTACAACTTCACTTCTTTCTGGGGTTTAAAAATGCAG